TTCTGGGAGTTGAAGTCCACTCATCTTAAAGTGGCCAAGTTTGGACAGCACTGGCTTAAGCACTGGCTTAATAGCTCTAACAGTCTAGAAATTCCCTCTTATTTTGAGTTTGGATCTTTCTCTGTAGACCTTTCATGGTTCTTGTCCTGCCCTTGGGCTCAGGGTTCTGTCTGTCTGACAAGTGTTGGAAAAGCAGAATGGGACCAAATCTGATGTGGGGAAGAAGCAAGCAAAAGAAAGATTGAGTTCAAAATGGCGGGGATCCAGAAAAATTCTCCCAGCACACTTCCCTCACTTAATGCTAGCCTTATGTCCTCAAAAACCTTACATATGGTCTAACTCAATGTATTTTTTCTCTAAAGAATGCTATTGCTAAAGCAGCCATTCGAGAACTAGCAACACTGTATGGCACCCAGTACACGTATGGTCCAGGAGCTACAACAATTTGTAAGTATGACACTAACAACAATACAACTGTGGTAATGATATGGTTATTGTTCATAAAAAGCTGTAATTAGAACATTACAGAGAATGCATAGTTACAGGGATTTCTCCCACTTCTCCCGCTTTTCCCACCCAACACATTTAAAAATGAGTCATTTAAAAACTCAACGTTTTCTTCAACATAAAGGCGACTGAATTCTCATAAAATCTCACAAGACTTCAGCCATTTTAATTAAAAAAAAATTAATAGATGACATCTGTTGGATTTACAGACCTCTTGATGCCCACGGTCACTGTATTGTCCTTCCTGCTCTATGCAATTGCTTCTTAACTTTCTAAATCAGTCCTTTACTATTAAACAGAAAGAATGGGGAGTAAAATATGGCATGATGCTGTATTTCTCATATTAATGTTATTATTTGCCTGAGCATGTTGGTTCACCAATATCTCCCCAGTTATATTGTACTGCCAAAGCATCATTTGTGATTCAGGCCTCTTGAGGACTATGTGAGTACAATATATGTGATCTGCAGAGGTGTTACCAGAGAAAGACTTCCCCCATTTTTCAGAATATGATGCATGACTGTGATATATATGAAAGCAAGTAAGGCTATACTGTTTTAGTTTATTAGCTTTAATATGAAATTCCATGACTGATTAAAAAGCAAAGGAATCAAGCATGGTAAAATTATCTGTTGAGTGTGAAAAATATCATCATTAGTGTGTCACATATACTGCATAATGATGTTGGAAGAAATACAGCCTTTCTCAATCTCATGTTCTCCAGGTGAAGAGTAGGCATCCAGTGTAGCCATATATACTGGAAATTATGGGTATTAAAGACCAACCACATCTTGGAGGATGTGAAGTCACTGATACCATACGTTAAACTTATGAAAATCAGTTCTATTTGCCTGTCCTTTATTTTTTAGCATATGTATCCCATTCTTTCCTATTTACAGATCCTGCTGCTGGTGGGTCTGATGATTGGGCTTATGATCAGGGTATAAAATATTCCTTCACCTTCGAACTTCGTGATACAGGCCGATATGGTTTCGCTCTTCCTGAATCTCAAATAAAGCCAACCTGTGAAGAAACCCTGATTGCTGTTAAATATATTGCTGACTATGTCCTTAAACATCTGTACTAAAAAAAAAAAAAAAAGCTTTCCAGGCTGATTAAAGAAAATTTAATTCATCATTGGTTTTGTACACTTTCTGTCTTTTCTGGGCCACTGTAATTGTTCTGGGGTCTCAAAAAGTTGTAGCTGTATGTCTGCCAGCCTCCCTAGTAAGCTATTGTTTTAAAAAATCATTGTTGTGAGGAAGTTAGAATTCACATGGGTGGATCAGTAGATGCATGCAGGGCCAGCTTTAGGCTTAAATTGCTTTAGCTGGCAATATAACTATATACAACTATAGTAAACAGAATTCTATCCTGGAATGGCCTTCTTGCATCCTCCTTTTGGCAAAATTCCCTGCATTACAGCACACTCAGTTGTGGAGTCCTTGGGGTTCTCTGAGCTTGGCTGTTTTTTTGCAAACACTTCATTACCCGGCTAGGTAACATCCAGTAACGAAACATTTGCAAGAAAACAGCCAAGCTCAGAGAACCCCAAGGACTCCACAGTTCAGTGTGCTGTAATGCAGGGAATTTTGCCAAAAGGAGGATGCAAGAAGGCCATTCCAGGATAGAATTCTGTTTACTATAGTTGTATATAGTTATATTGCCAGCTAAAGCAATTTAAGCCTAAAGCTGGCCCT